CTAATCTTTCATTTTACCTTAATATTTTCAAGGTTTGCTCCCACACAGGAGTATGTGTCAGTACTTTATTATTTTTATTACCAAATAATATTCTTTTGCATGGATATACCACATTTAGCTTATCAATTGATGGACAGTTGAGTTGTTACCATCTATAAACCATTATGAATAGTGCTACTATGAATATTGGTGTGTACGTTTTTATTTATTGTTTATTTATTTGTTTTTAAGGAAACAGTGTCTTCCCCCACCCTGTACTGGGGATCAGACTCTGACCTTGAGCTTGTCAGGCATGTGGCACCATGCCCAACTTCAAGTCTGTTCTGTTGATCAGTATGTGTACCCCTGTGTACCAGTACCACACTTTTTTTTTCAGTTCTGGGGATGGACCCCAGGGCCCTCATGCTAGGCAAGTGTTGTTATCATTGTGCTATGGCTCAGCCCTACCATGCTATCTTGATTATCATTGTATAGTGGTAAGCTTCGAAATATGGACGCATGAGGCTCCCTATATTGTTTTTCTTCAAAACTGTTTTGGCAACTGAGTGTGATAGTGCATGCCTATGATCCCAACTAGGTGGGAAGCTGAGGCAGAAGGATCACAAAGTCAAGGCCAGGATGGGTAATTTAATAAGACCCTGTCTCAAAATGAAATGAAAAGGCTGGGGGTGTAGCTCAGTGGTAGAGCACTTACTTAGCATGTATGAGGCCCTGGGTTTGTTCCTCAGCACTGGAAAAAAAAGTTTTTTGTTTTTGTTTTGTGGTACTGGGGATAGAATTCGGGTCCTTGCACCTGTGAGGCAGGCACCTGAACCACTGAGCTAAATCCCCAGCCCTAGAAAAAAAGTTTTGGCTATTTTGGCTTCTTGGATATTCCATGTTTATCAGCTTGCCAGTTTCTATGAAGAGATGAGATGATGGGAATTAGGTTGGATCTGTAGATTAATTTGGAGAAAATTACCATTTTAACAATGTCAAATCTTCTGATCCACAGGAGATTAAGTTTTTTTTATTCAGATCATCTTTGTTTTCTTTCAAACATCTTTATGAGGTCAGACTCAGAGTTGCCTGCCTGTCACCCCAGGTACTCTAAGGGCTGAAAGAGGCAGATCAGAAGTTCAGGGCTACCCTGGGCAATTTAGCAAGAACTTGATTTTAAAAAAAGAAAGGCTGGGAGTATAGCTCATTGCAAAATCTGGGTTCCAACCTAGTACTGCAAAGACTAAAATGTAGTTTTGCATTTTTGTTGAATTTGTTCCTCAGTTTTGTTTTTGGTTTTTTTTTTTATGCTATTATAAGTAGAATTTTTTAGTTTCACTTTCTGATTATGTGTTGTATATGTCTAGGAACACATTTGGTTTTTTGGGTTTTTTGGGTATCGGGGTTTAAACTCAGTCAAGACCTTGCACTTGCAAGGTAGGCGCCAGAACCACTGAGTTAAATTCCCGACCCATTTGTTTGTTTTTTGAGACAGGGTCTCCCTATGTTGTTCAGGGTGGCCTTGAACTGACTATGTAGCCCAGGCTGGCCTTGAACTCATGGCAATTCTGCTTTAGCATCCTGAGGGCTGGGATTACAGGTGTGTCACCACACCTATTTCCTAATACTTCTTTTTTTTTTTTTTGGTACCAGAGATCGAACTTCGGTCCTTGCGCTTGCACAGCAGGCAGTGAAACCACTGAGCTAAATCCCCGGCCCCCTAATACTTCTTCAATTTTTTTTTATTTTTGAGGCAGGATCTTATTAAGTTGCTAAGTAGCCCAGGCTGGGTTTACATTTATGATCCTCCTGTCTCAGCCTCCCAGAACACTGGGATTTAGGTGTGTGCCACCATACCTGGCTTGATTTTTGTATGTGGATAATATACACTGCAAACTTGTTGAACTCATTTATTCATTCTAATAGTGGATTCCTTAGGATTTTCTATTTGAAGATAATGTCTTCTGCAAAATGATTTTACTTCCTTCCCAATTTGGATGCCTTTTTCTTCTTTTTGTAACCTAATTGCACTGGAGACAGCCTCTGAACAATGCTGAATATAAGTGGTAGGACCAGACATTGTCTTGTTCCCGATCTTAGGAGGAAATTGTCCAGCCTTTCACCATTAGGTATAATGTGAACTCTTTTGGGGGGATTTATTTTATTTGTGGTGTTTAGGATTGAGCCTAGATGCACACATCTTAGACAAGCTGTCACAGCTACACCCTCTGTTCTAACTCTGAGTCCTTTGTTATCATTCATCTTGTGGGAGAAGTTCTATTCCTGGCTTATTGAATGGTTTTGGTTTTTGCTTTTGCTTTCTTTGCTGTACTGGGGATTGAATGGAGGAACTTTACACTAAGCTACATCCCTAACGCTTTTTCTATTTTGAGACAGGGTCTCTCTGAATTGCTGAGTTGTCCAGATGTGCCTCAAACTTGCAATCCTTCTACCTCAGCCTCACAGAGTGATGGGATTACCAACATGTACCACTATGCCTGAGCTTGAATGTTTTTATCATGAGCGTGATAGATTTTATCTAGTGCTTTTTCTGTATCGAGGTGATCACGTGTGTGTTTAACTGATAGTTTGTTTGCTTCTTATTAATAGAATGTATTATATTAATTATTTTCTTTTTGTGTGTATGGTGGTACAGGGATCAAACCTAAGGCCTGGCAAGTGCTAGGCAAGTACTGTACTGATGAGGTACATCCCAATCCTTATTTATTTATTTATTTATCTTTTTAAATTTTGAGATGCAGTCTACTAAGCTGCCCAGTCTGGTCTTGACTTTGTGATCCTCCTGCTTCAGCCTCTCAAGTAAACAGTTGGGATCACAGACATGTGCCACTATGCCCACCTACATTGATGTTTTGGTGTTGAATGATTTGAACCCTTGGGATTAATCTAATTTGGCCATAGTATGTAATTCTTTCTATAAGTTTTAGATTCAGTTTGTTAGTATTTTGTTGTGGACTTTTACATCCATATTTCAGTCTTCTTTCTTGTGATGTCATTGTCTGTTTTGGTATCAAGGTAATACTGGATGTATGAAATCAGTTTGGAAATGTTTGCTCCTGTTTTTTGGAAGAGTTCGTGAGGTGTCAATATTAATTATTTAAATATAAAAGAAGTCAGGACCGGAGATTTAGCTCAGTGGCACCGTACCTGCCTCGCAGGCACAAGGTCCTGAGTTTGATCCCCAGTACTAAAAAATAAATAAAATAAATAAATAAATAAAATAGAAGTCAGTGATGAAACGATCTGGATCTAGGCCTTTCTTCATGAGTATTTATTTACTACTACCTCAGTCTCTTCACTTGGTATAAACACTTTTTGTGTTCATATTAGTAGTTTGTCTTCCTAGTCTTCCTAGGAGTTGTTTGTTGCAGTAGTGGGAATTGAAGCCAGGGCCTTGTGGATGCTAGGCAAATGCTCTCCTACTGAGCTAAATCCCCAGTCCTTTCAAAATTGAGAAGGGGGGCCAGGGATTTAGCTCAGTGGTTTCACCGCCTGCTGCGCAAGAGCAAGGACCCGAGTTCTATCCCCGGTATCAAAAAAACCTAAAAAAAAAACAAAATTGAGAAGGGTCTCACTAAGATGACCAAGCTACCCTCAAACTTTTAATCCTCCTATCTTAGCCTGCTGAATAGCTGGGGTATTTGCCCATTTTTATTTCTGTAGAAATAAAAATATCCCTTCTTTCATTTTTGCTTCTAGTAATTTGAGTCTTTTCTCTTTATCTTGGTCCATCTAGCTAAAAGTTTATCAATTTTATGACTTGTTCAAAGAGCCAGCTTTTAGTTTCATTGCATTTTGTCTACTATTTTTCTCTTCTGTATTTCATTAATTTCCATTATACTTTATTATTTCCTTACTTCTTTTTGCTTTAGGTTTAGGTTGCTTTTTTTTTTTTTTTTTTTGGTTCCAGTACCTTAAGGTGAAGAATTAACCTGTTTACTTGAGGTCTTTCTTCTTTGATGATACAGACATTTAACATACTCTTTGTGTTAGCTGTATCCCCTATAAATATTGGTGTGTTGTGTTTTCATTTCAATTTTTTTTTTTTGGTACCGGGGATCGAACTTGGGACCTTGCGCTTGCGAGGCAGGCGCCGGAACCACTGAGCTAAATCCCCGGCCCTGCACTTAATGTTATTGTCCATAAGGACTGGCTTCTGCCATTTTGCTGTTATTTTTGTTAGCAGAATGTGGTTTTATGCACTAGGCTATTTATATACAGTATTACTTTTTTCCATGCCCATTTTATGATTAAGGAATCCAAAATTTATAAAGAAGTGGTAGCAGCCCCAGTCAGTAGTGGAGCTGAGCTATAAGCCTGGCATTGCAACCACCAATTTTTTTTCTATTACTGAGGAATAAACTCAGGGCCTTTTCACTGAGCTACATCCCCAGCCTTTTAAGACAGTCTCAATAAGTCACTAAATTGCCCAGTCTGGGCTAGAAGTTATGATCCCCTATCTCAACCTCCCATTATGCTGAGACTACAAGCATGTGCCACCAGACCCACCTTTAACCATCAGTTCTTGCCTTCCCAGAAGTTACCTTATTATTCCCCTGGATTCCCCTCTTGCTCTCTATAGCTAGTCTCCACATGCAACCAGAGGGATTTTTAAAAAATATAAATCTAGCCACATCTCCCCTACTTCTAATCCTCCAAGAGCCCCCACCCAGGAACAGGCTGGGCTTCCTCCTGCAGCCATCATCCTGGCTGACACATATCACACAGGGAAGGGTATGATGCTCCATGATGAGTAACTCCTGGTTATGGGGTGCATTCACACACTCAGTTGCCTCTTTCCCAGTCAGGCTGCCTGGGATTCAGAGCACCACTGTCTAGAACATCATTTGCTTGGCTCTAAGTACACTCCAGCTTAGGCCTTGGGAGAGCTGGGAGGACCCCTTTGACTATGGCTGTCACCAGAAAGCTTCTGTACTTCACTTGCCTTCTGTAATAACCATACCCAACTTCACAGTTTTCCCTCTTCTTTCCTTTTCCAGTCCATACAGACCCTGCAGGATTTGCTCACTGATCTTTATGCACTCAAGGTCAAAATTGAAGACCTCAGGAAGGATGTGGACATGCTGAAGGATATGTTTGAAAAGGTAGTCCCTCCCTTACAATCTCTACACTGGCCATGCTGGTCAGAACTCTGGTGGTTGAGTTAATAAAGAAGCTTGCTTGCTTTTCTTTTCTTTCTTTCTTTCCTTTCTTTCCTTTCTTTCCTGGTACTGGGATTGAACCCAGGGCCTATGCACTAAGATAAATCTCAGCCCTTTATTTTTTAGAGATAGGTATTACTAAGTTGCTACATGGCCCAGGCTGGGTTTAAACTTGCAGTTCCCCTGCCTCAGGGTCCCACATGGTGGGATTCTGGGTATACATCATCGCTGTCAGCTAGGAAGCCTGTACTTAGTTAAAAAAAAATCCAGCCATAAGTAAAGGAGAAGGGGGCTAACCTTGCCTAGCAACTTGGGCTGTTTTGCTTGCTTTTCTGTGGCCCTTCAGTGTTTCTCATGCCATTGTTTTAGGACATCAGTTCTAGATGGCAGAAACCAGTTCATCTTAGCTTAGGAAAACTAATAGAATGTATTGTCTCATTTACTAAAAGTCAAGGGATGCCTTCAGGTACAGCTAGATCTAGGCACTTACACATCATTGGAATGTCTCAGTGATGCCTTCTCAGACAAGTACTTCTCAAGTACTGAAAACTCCAGGCTTACATTCTACCAACTTAGCAGAAAGTTAGCACCTTTTTTTTCTTCTACAAAGCTTTCTCCACACTGAAAAGGACTCCTTGGACAAATCTATTTGAGAAACAGTACCTCCATGACCCACCTCTAAGGGATTCTTAATTTCTTTCTCTCAGAGTTCTGAGAAATCCTGCAATACAGAAATCCATTGAATGATTTTAGCCCAACATTTCCTCATCTTATTTGTGTATGGAGCCCTTTTGCATCCCCTTTCCTTCCCTGGGAAACTCTGTTCTTCCTTCTCGAGTTCTTAGTCATCTAGCATTATGAGATGCAGCAGGGCTGGGACCAGAACCTGTGCATCCAGCCTACAGACTCAGATCATGTGATAGGTACACCTGGAAAGACTGGATCTCTTCTCTGAAGACTTGAAAACTCAGAACCGGCAGATGATGGTACTGAAGCGTGAAGTGGTAAGGGTCCCTGGCTCTGTCCTTCCTCTTTGGGGTCTGGGGGAGGTTGGGGAGGGGAAAAGAGCATGTTCTGGAAAGGTTTTTTTGTAAATGTGGAAGGGACTGAGAGTTATGAGCCTCCTGAGAGCAGGTGCGGGAAACCCCTGAGAGCATCACATCCCCTGTTTCCCACCCCACTCCACAGATGTCTCTCCAAAAAATGATTCACACCATCCCCAGATCTGATGACATGGTGCTCTGGAGTGGCCTCTATGAGGCCATGTTCACCCCAGTGAGTGGAGGAGGAGGAGCCGGGGCAGGAAGGTGGGCCGGCCGGCCCCATCAGCCCATTTTTCCTCAGGGCACTGCTTCACTAGAGCTGGAGCCGTCCAACATGTGGCAGACCATGGAGCCACCTCCACAGACTGCCTTTACCCAGACCCAGAACCTTGAAGAGATTGTTCATACCCATGTTGCAGAGCCTATCCAAGGTCCTAGGCTCCTACAGACTGCCTGGCACTCTGACATCCAAGCACCCCTACCAGACCAGGAATCTGTCCAGGCATTTCCATCTGGCAGTGCCAAGGGGCCAGGGAAGCCTCAGGCCCTCATCACTGGGCCTGGGCCTGCAGCCAGACCTGCAACTATGCTGGGACCAGAGTCCCAGGCCATGGCTACAGTAGGGCCCCATGTGACACATGGGTTCACGCCAGCACCTTTGCCTGCCTTTGGACCTGAGACTGGCCCTTCTCTTTTCTGGGTGGAAGGTTTACTCCAGCCTGGCACAAGTCCATCAGACTCCCTGCAGTCCCCTCAAAACCACCCCTCCAAGGCACCGCCCCTAGCTCGGGAGTTTGGATCAGCATGCCCTCTTTCACTGCAACCTTATCAGCCTCGCAAGGCAGAGGCCCATCAGCTCCCAGTGGTCGAAGAAAAGGAAGAAAAATATTTTACCCACTATGTGAGACACACTCAGGAGGGATCCTCCAAGACTGGAGTGCCCAAAGAGAAGGCCTTCCAGTGTGGGGTCCCCAAGGATGGAGCCCTCAGGGACAGGGCCCCAGAAGCACAACCTAAGGGCTCCAAGCCTGCCCTGTATCGGCTGAGAACCACCATTGCCAACGCTGCCACTGCAGCCGCTGCCTATGCAGCTGCCACAACCTCAGCAGCCTGGACAGCCAGGGCCGCAGCAAAGGCGTTAGAGGATGTTCCTGCCACCAAAATGGCCACCGAGGCAGCAACCATGGCAGCATCTGGGCCCTTAGGGGTCTTTGCAGATGTCCTAGGTGGAGGGTTTTCCCGTGGAGCCCTAGACTCCACAACCCTTGGCACTGATGGTGAGAAGCAGGAAGACTTGATGACAGACTATGAAACATTCTCTCCCCCATCTACCCTGGGCCTCAACATTCATGAATCAGCACTGTCCCAGGCTATGCTGTATGCCACACAAGCCATAAGCCCTGAAGACAAGAAGAAAGCCGTCAAGTACTCCATGAGCCACATAGCCCAAATGCCTGTTAGACATGACAATTTGAAGGAAGAATTTGCTCATCTGTTATCTGATTTGCAGCAGTGCTTCAGTTATCTAGGTAGGTGGGAAGGGCAGCAGAGGACTTAGGCCCTCCACGCAGCCTGCCTCTTTTGTTTGGCCCTACCAAAAAAGGTCTATATTCATTCATTCCTCTGGCTTAAACATTAGCCTCTTACTAGCTCAGTTTGTTTGTTCTCTTCCTCTCTCCCTCCCTCCCTCCCTTCCTTCCTTTTAAATTGTGGTGGTAGTGCTGGGGATTGAGCCCAGCTCTTGGTGTCCTGAGCTACATCCCCAACCAGTTTTTTTTGTGGAACCAGGGATTGAATGTAGGACCTTGCACTTGCCAGGCAGGCACTCGCACCACTGAGCTAAACCTCCGGCCCCCCAACCCCTTTTTTTCCCCTTTGAGACAGGATCTTGTTAAATTGGCTAGGCTGCCCTTAAACTTGATGTCCCTCTGCCTCAGCCTCCTGAGTTGCTGGGATTACAGGGATGTGCTGCCATGCCCAACACTAGTTTATAATTTTACTGTGAATGTACAGTGAGGTCTTATCTTGGGGAAGAGGGACTGTTAGGGTCTGAAGTTGGCACTTAAGGAGGAAAACTGCATGTGAAAATTATTCTTCAAAACTCCTTTTCAACGTAGGTGCAGTGGCACATGCTTATAATTCTAGCTGCTTGGGAGGCTGAGACAGGAGGATTCCAAGTCTGAGGCCAGCCTGGGCACCTTAGTGAGACCTTGTCTGAAAGTGAAATAAAAATGGCTAGGGATGTAGCTTGGTAATAGAGTGCATGCCATGCTCAAGGATCTGGGTTCAATCTTAGTACCAAAAGAAAAAAGAAAAAACTCCTTTTATATTGCTCATAAAATGGTCCTATACAGTGTGTTGGTAAGTGTGACTTGGCCAGAAAATGACCACTGAGCAAAATCCAGAGGTCAGGTGGCAATTAAGAGCAAATACAAGGCAGAAATATGCCTCTTCAGAGACCACAGTTCCCTCTGGGTGCCCAGCCCATGGTGGGGACATGCACCTTATGAAAGGAGAACAGGCTGGCCATGGTGACACACACCTGTGAACCCAGCACTCAGGAGGCTGAGGCAGGAGGATTTCCTCAAGTTCAAGGCCAGCCTGGGCTAACAGTGAGTGCAAAGCCAGCCTGAACTACATAGTGAGACTGTGTCTCATAAAACAAAACAAAAAGAAAAGAATGATCCATCCTCAACATGTGCCCAATCCAGTGTCTTCTGGAGGGCTCTGTAAAGCAAACTGCTGGGTTCCACTCCCAGAGCTCTGACTAAGTTGATCTGGGTAGGACCCAAGAATTTCGTTTATCTTTTTTTTTTCTTTTCAGTTCTGATAATTGAACCCAGGGTTTCATACATGCTAGGCAAGCACTCTACCACTGAGCTGCACCCCCAGTCCCAAGAATTTGCATTTCTAATTCGATCCCAGGCAATACTGATGCTGAAGTTGTGAACCCGGGGAACCTACTTTGCAATCCATTGCCCTGTACTCTTTTGAGTCATCATCTTGTGTTTTTACTCTCTGAGAACTACAATAGCTGAGTTCACCAAAGTCACAACAACCCTAGTTTGCCTTCTGATAAGCAGTGCTATTTCACAAATCCAAGAAAAAAAATGAAATCACATAGCTAAAAAGAAGCCGGGTATGGCAGCACACACCTGTAATCTCAGTACTTGGGAGGCTGGGGCAGGAGGATCGCCACAAGTTCGAGGCCAGCCTCAGCTTCATAGTGAGCTCAAGACCAGCCTCAACTACACAGTAAGACCCTGTCTTTAAAAAA